TCAACGATAATAATCATGGTGATTACGCGATTTTATCTTATCGTTTCCCTCGTTGCAGCAACCTAAAGGAGCTTCAAACAGATTTGGAGAAGTTGAAGGTTTACCTGAACAAGTCTTACAGTGCAAACGACTTTTACATTCAGGACATTGCCTTTTTTGGACAATACGTAATCGACGAACTATCACTGCAAAGTCACATAGAATCTTTGCCAAACATCCTCAACGAAATATGGGAGATAATGGGCGAATCTGGGGAAACGATTAGAAAATCATTACTCTGGCTGATCGAAACGATCAAGAACGCATTTAACAAGGTACCTGAAATCGTTGCCTCTATCCTAAGGGGCGACACGATTTTTCAGCTAGCACAAATAATCGACCAATTGCTCATACAGTACGATAAGTTTGTAAAAGATCTTCACGTATCGTTTATTAAGTACATCGAGAATCTTTCGGAGAAGATTTCACAGTCGATTACGCAGCAATGGAACCAATTTTTACTGCTTGTAGAGCCGCTTTTCATTCGCTTTATTCACTATCTGGAGACCGTTGCTTGGAAAGCGAGCAAGGAATTCGTTGATTTTATGTACAATCGAAGAAACGACCTTATAGCATCCCCTTATTTCGATCGTTTTACTAATTTTACTCAAGACATCGACAAACTCTATCGCGACATCAAGGGCAACGACATCATAACGAACATTCAAAAGTACACGAGTGTGGTAATACGGTTCTTGAAAGAGCGATATTTCACCTTCGTACCGTTCGGTAAAGTGCTCCAGGATGTCGTCGATGAGATTCTGACCGAGTTAAAGGAATTAGAAAAATTACCGTCTATACATTACGCTTTGGAGAAAATACAACAGGTGTACGACAGAGCGTATTATGTTTACGAGTACCTCGAGATACGAGCCAAAGTAGAAAGCGCCATCCGGCTAATTCACGCGAAACTAATGGACATAAGTCAGACAGCTCTACAAGCTGAGAGCAAATACAGAGAAGCAAAGACAAAGTTCATCTTCGATCCTAATCAGGGCTTGATGTGCTTGGAACAAAAACTTCCGATGTCATGGCACGCGTTTAATCAAACTCCGGCATTTCAGGAGATCCCCGAATTTAGGATCATTTCCGACGTAAAATCGTACTTTGCTGCCTCGGACGTGACCTTCTGGAGCGTGTATCGATACAAGCCATACATGGATCCGTTTAACTGGTTGCCACCATTCAGAGGTAATCACGTACTTACACTTTATTCATTTTCCCGTGGTTTTTTCTCGGTGTCGTGGTTGATCCGATCTAATCTCGAACAAACTAATTTCAGCGCAAGCGATGATTATTGGTTCACGACATTTTGTTACATTCGATGGACGACACACGAATTTCGTCGGTTCTTGCACATACCTGTTGGCTCGTGATTTCGTGCGAGATACCTTTGCTATCCTACTCGAGTACCAACCAGAATCCGATCGAGTTACGCACAAGATCATCGTGTTGCTCGGGAAGGACGTACTCCAACTTGACTTCTTCAACGATGTCAGTACCGATGGTTACAGTAATACGATAGTAACGAGAATAATGATAAGAATTATAGTAATCGGTATCTTAACTTTTACTCCTTTATGAAATAACAGCCAACCCGTTACGTACGTTTCCCTTTTTTGCAGAGCATCAAACTTCTCTCCGAGGAATCGACGAGCGTAGCAAGTAACCTCGTACTTCCGACTGAACTCGAGAATGGGACAACGTACGTTTATCAGGCGGATAGCGTCGTTACCGTGGAACGTAAACAAAATCAGTTCCGACTTGAATGCAATTTGAAGTTCGATCTCTGCATTCTGGAATTATCCGGTTGGTATCATGGGAAAACTGCCGGTATCCTCGGTACGATGAACTATGAACCAATGGATGATATGACCGGATCGAATGGAATCATAACGAAAGACGCGAGAGCATTTACTGACAGTTGGTCGATCGATAGAGAAGTTGAAAAGAAAAATTGTTCATTGAACGACTTTTATCCGACAACGCCGGCAGCAACGAGGACCAGCACGGCTATAAAGTCGGAAGAGAATTCGATGATTTTGCAGTTTTGTAATGACTTGTTTGTAAATAAAAGCTCCGAATTCGTTAGCTGTTTCGACGTGATCGAACCAGAGGAATACTCAAAAATGTGCACTGCATCCGGAAGTAAATCGGAAGCTTGTACCGTGGCATTATCCTACATACAGATTTGCATGTTCCACGATACGTATCTCAGAATACCAGATGTATGCAGTAGCTGCAGTATGGTAGACGGTAGTCAAGTGGCAGAAGGTCAGTTCACAAGACTAGAAGGCGATCGAGTACCCAGTTCGACCGACGTGGTATTCCTCGTCGAAGGGAAAG